AGTCTCTAGAGGAAAATATATAGCAATAAGTGCCCACATGAGAAGAAAGGAGAGATCCAAAACTGACACCCTATCGTCAAAACTGAAAGAGCTAGTGGAGCAAGATCAAAAAATCTCAAAGTCTAGCAGAAGACAAGAAATAGCTAAGGTCAGAGCAAAACTGAAGGAGATAGAGACACAAAAAACCCTTCAAAAAATCAATAAATCCAGGAGCTGGTTTTTTGAAAAGATCAACAAAATAGACAGACCACTAGCCAGATTAATAAAAAAGAAAAGAGAGAATAACCAAATTGATGCAATAAAAAACGATAAAGGGGATATCACCACAGATTCCACAGAAATTCAAACCATCATCAGAGATTATTACCAACAATGTATGCACATAAACTAGTAAACCTGGAAGAAATGGATAAATTACTGGACTCTTGCCTCCGCCCAAGCCTAAACCAGGAAGAAGCTGAAACCCTGAACTGACCCATAACAGGGTCTGAAGTTGAGGCAGCAATTAAGAGCTTACCACCCAAAAAAAGCCCAGGTCCAGACGGTTTCACAGCCGAATTCTACCAGACATACAAAGAGGAGCTGGTACCATTCCTTCTGAAACTATTCCAAACAATACAAAAAGAGGGAATTCTTTCCAAATCGTTTTATGAGACCAACATCATCCTGATTCCAAAACACAGCAGAGACTCAACAAGAAAAGAAAACTTCAGGCCAATATCCATGACGAACATAGATGCAAATATCTTCAATAAAATACTGACAAGCCGATTGCAACAGCACATCAAAAAGCTTATCCACCATGATCAAATAGGCTTCATCCCGGGGATGCAAGGCTGGTTCAACATACACAAGTCTATAAACGTAATTCACCACATAAACAGAACCAAAGACAAAAACCACATGATTATCTCAATTGATGCAGAGAAGGCCTTTGACAAAATTCAACAGTCCTTTATACTAAAAACCCTCAATAAGCTAGGTATTGATGGAACGTATCTCAAAATAATAAAAGCTATTTATGACAAACCAACAGCCAACAGCCAACATCATACTGAATGGGCAAAAACTGGAAGCATTCCCCTTGAAATGTGGCACCAGACAAGAATGCCCTCTCTCACCACTCCTATTCAATATAGTACTAGAGGTTCTAGCCAGAGCAATCAGGCAAGAAAAAGAAATAAAGGGCATTCATATAGGAAAGGAGGAAGTCAAATTGTCTCTATTTGCAGACGACATGATTGTATATCTAGAAGACCCATCGTCTCAGCCCCAAACCTCCTGAAACTGATAAGTTTTCAGCAAAGTCTCAGGATACAAAATCAATGTGCAAAAATCACATGTATTCCTATACACCAATAACAGACTTAAAGAGAGCCAAATCAAGAACAAACTGCCATTCACAATTGCCACAAAGAGAATAAAATACCTAGGAATACAACTAACAAGGAACGTAAAGGACCTCTTCAAGGAGAACTACAAGACACTGCTCAATGAAATAAGAGAGGACACAAACAGATGGAGAAACATTCCATGTTCATGGTTAGGAAGAATCAATATCGTGAAAATGGCCATACTGCCCAAAGTAATTTACAGATTCAATGCTATCCCCATCAGGCTACCAATGACCTTCTTCACAGAACTGGAAAAAATCCCCTTAAACTTCATATGAAACCAAAAGAGAGCCCACATAGCCAAGTCAATTCTAAGCAAAAAGAACAAAGTGGGAGGCATCACACTACCTGACTTCAAGCTATACTACAAGGCTACAGTAATCAAAACAGCATGGTACTGGTACCAAAACAGAGATATAGACCAATGGAACAGAACAGAGGTCTCGGAGGCAACGCAACATATCTACAACCATCTGATCTTTGACAAACCAGACAAAAACAAGCTATGGGGAAAGGATTCCCTGTTCAAAATGGTTTTGGGAAAGCTGGCTAGCCATGTGCAGAAAGCAGAAACTGGACCCTTTCCTGACACCTTACACCAAAATTAATTCCAGATGGATTAAAGACTTAAACATAAGACCTAACACCATAAAAACCCTAGAAGAAAATCTAGGCAAAACCATTCAGGACGTAGGCGTAGGCAAGCACTTCATGACCAAAACACCAAAAGCATTGACAACAAAAGCCAAAATAGACAAATGGGACCTAATCAAACTCCACAGCTTCTGCACAGCAAAAGAAACAGTCATTAGAGCGAATCGGCAACCAAGGGAAAAAATTTTTGCAGTTTACCCATCTGACAAAGGGCTGATAAAGGACGAAAACACATTTATAAGAAAAAAACTAATAAGCCCATTCAAAAGTGGGCAAAGGATATGAACAGACACTTTACAAAAGAAGACATACATGAGGCCAACAGCCATATGAAAAAATGCTCATCATCACTGGTCATCACAGAAATGCAAATCAAAACTACATTGAGATACCATGTCACACCAGTTAGAATGGCAATCATTAAAAAATCTGGAGACAACAGATTCTGGAGAGGATGAGGAGAAATAGGAACACTTTTGCACTATTGGTGGGAGTGTAAATTAGTTCAACCATTGTGGAAGACAGTGTGGCTATTCCTCAAGGACCAAGAAATAGAAATTCCATATGACCCAGCAATTCCATTACTGGGTATATATCCAAAGGATTACAAATCATTCTACTATAAGGACACATGCACACGAATGTTCATTGCAGCATTGTTTACAATAGCAAAGACCAGGAACCAACCCAAATGTCCATCGACGATAGACTGGATAGGGAAAATGTGGGATATATGCACCATGGAATATTACGCAGCCATCAAAAATGATGAGTTCGTGTCCTTTGTAGGGACATGGATGAACCTGCAAACCAACATTCTCAGCAAACTGACAGAAGAGCAGAAGATCAAACATTGCATGTTCTCACTCATAGGCGGGTGTTGAACAATGAGAACACATGGACACAGGGAGGGGAGCACTACACACTAGGGTCAGTTTGGGGGAAATAGGGGAGGGACGGTGTGGGGTGGGGAGCTGGGGAGAGAAAGCAAGGGGAGAGATGCCAGACGTAGGTGATGGGAAGGAAGGCAGCAAATTACATTGTCACGTGTGTACCTAGGCAACAATCTTGCATGTTCTTCACATATACCCCAAAACCTAAAATGCAATAAAATAAATAAATGGGAGGGGGGAAAAGAAAAATATCTATTGAGTAAAATACAAAGAAAAAATACAGGCAAGAAAATAAACTGGAATTAACACAAGGCTCTTTCTTTCTCTGAATCTTTTCTTTAATCTTTAATAAGTCAAAATCATATAATTGGGCCATGAGTTGAACACTTCTACCCCTTATTCTGGGTACTTCTCCTGTATTATTTCTTATTATTTCTCTGATTTTTAAAATGTAAATATCTAATATTTTACTTTTAAATATAAAAATTAACATTAAAGTATACATATTAAAAACATTATTTAGTCATAGAACATGTAAGGAAAGCCAGCAATCCATTGTCCATTTCCACCTCTGTGAAGAAGCAATAATTTTTAACTCTTTTATTTGCTTTATTTTCAGTGGTTATATTCTTATTTCAAGGATATGCCTATGCTATAATATTCTTATTTCAAGTTTTCTTACCTTTCTCTTTATGGTTAGCTCTATTACAATTTTCTTGAAGTCTACTGTTTAGTAAAATCCTTAGAAATTCTTAAATTCACCTAAGTATAATTTATTTAAATCTGTGCATTTACAAATATGTTTATTTCCTCTTAAATTTGACTGATAATTTTGCAGAGTAAAATATTAATTGTTGAAAATCATTTTCTCTCATATTTTTGAAGGTTCTGCTTGTCTGTCCTCTAGCAACATCCAGGGTTACTGATGGGAAACCCAAGTCATTCTCATTCTTTGTTAAGTAACCTACATTTTCTCATTTGTTGTATTCAAATTTGGCATTATAAGATTTCTAATAATGTGCCTCAGGTCTTTCTTTTTAACTTAGTTTTTTTTAAAGTCAGTATTTTGGAGACTCAGTAGGAATTTTCAATCTAGTGACTTTCATATCACTGAGAATTTCTCTAGTATTATTTCTCTGACAATTTGCCTCTTCCAATTTTTTTTTTTTTTGCTTCGGATATTCCTTTTAGCTGGGAGAATCAACATTCCATCCTTGTTTTATAGATGCCATATATTTTGACTACCTCCAAAGATTTAATCTGTGGTCTCGGAGAGCATCTTTACTCCTGAGCCTCTCAATTTCCCTTGAGAAGGTGCCCTCTTGAGAAAGGATACCTGGCTCCCAGGATTTTATTGCTAGCGTGTAGAAGGTAAGGGGGAACACCAATGTTTCACATACAAACTTTTAACTAAAGCCCCTGCTTCAGCCTTGTGCCTCAACTCTCTCCTATTTTGAATCTGGCTGACCATTCACAAGATCTGATGAGAAAAATTGTTCCTTTGTAAGCAATTTTGTTCATGTTTTTCTCCATTTAGATTAATCAGTTTCCAGAACCTTCCAACTGCTTTCCTTCTTCCAAATATATTTTTTTTGCCAGTGTCCACTTGCTTGTCTCTAATTGCCTTCCTTTATTTCTTGTCTTTTATTGCTCTTATTTTTTCTTTGTTACAAATATAGTTGAATCTTATACATATATTCTGAGCTTTAGTTCTTTGTTATGTTATTTATTTCGTTGTTCAACTTGTTTCAGCTGTGGCCACTGGGGGCACTTTCATGTTGGCCGCTGTGTCGAAGATCAGGTAGTATTTATTCCTATTTCCAATCTCTCCTGTGACCTAAACAATATTTAGCCTATTGGAAACATTCAGCAAGCTCTTTACAAAAATGACTACAGTATATTCAACACATTTGAGTTGAATGCATACTTTGTTCCAGTCATGTGCAAGTTTAATGTACAGCTCTACCTCACGTAATGGGACATGTATGATGCCAGAACATTCCTGTGCTGAAGGTGATAGGAGGGGAAGGGAGTGAATTTCTACTTTATGCATATTTTAGGGAACAATACTGTGGCTATCATTTACTCTTTGGAGCATTCTTGATTTTGGTCATTTATAATTAGAACATGAGAAAAAGTGACGGTGAATACAAATGAGTACTAACCAAATTCCTAGGCTGCTACTAGAAAATAAAATAAAATTTTAAAAAAGTCCCTTGCCATGTTCACAAAGGTGGCAATAACTGTATATATAAGAAAAAGGCTGTAAACTTATAGAAAAGATAAACTCTGGCTTCTAAACAAATTGCAAAATTGATTTTGCCTTTATCCTTGAGTGTGATACAGAAAAATGTAAACCCGTAGACCTAGTTACCAAAAGACACTTATCTTCCTTAGCCCAGGTATGAACTCAGAGTTTGCCCTGAGCTAGTGTGATCTTCAAGTTTTCTCCAAGTTTTTCAATGAACTCAAATGTGTTCAAGTAGTCAGAACGTTGCACATTGAGTAAACCTTTAATGCAAGCAGCCAAGTCCTTGGTCATGAAGCCAGCCTCAGCTGTCTCAATACAGACGTCTTCCAAAGCATTTGCAAAGAAGGCAAGCTCTTTCTTGTTACTAAGCTTTGTTCTGTGGGCTAATTCTCTGGTCTGGGTGAAAATGGAAGAAACGGGATTGGTGGACATCTCCTGTCCTTTCTGGTACATGTGGTAGTGACGGGTTACAGCTGCGTTGGCAGCCTCTGCTTCTGTCTTGCCATCTAGACAAACCAGTATGCTGGTGATCATGCTGAGAGAACCATACCCTTGGGCCACAGAGTCTGACTGCACGTTACCACCATGGTTTTTACAGGCCCAGAAGCCTCCCTCTGATTTCATAACTTGGGCCACCATGTCATGGATGAGCCTATGCTTATACTAGATCTTTTGGGCTTCAAACTGGGACTTATACTGCTTGTCCTATATCTCCTGAAAGATGTCTTTCAAACACCCATCATATTTCTTCAGAATAGTGTTTTTGGTGCTCAGATACATAGGCCAACCCTTAGACAGAGCCATTTGGAAGGAACTGTGTGCAAAACCTTCAACTGACTTATCTTAATTAAACATCCCTGTGGCAACACCACCACCCTCTTCAAAGTTAGTATCAGGTATGTCACCTTTTGGGTTCTGTCACTTGGTGTGTAGGTTATCTCTACTTTTCCAGGCCCAGGAACAACAGAATCAGTTGCTCTGTATTGATTCCTATAAGCACGATGACCTATGATGATGAGTTTTACCCGTCCGCCCACAAGCCTGGGAATATTTTTGCAGATAATGGCTTCTCTGTAGATGGTGCCACCCAGAATATTTTGTATGGTGCTGTTTGGTGATTTCCACACTTGTTTCAACTTGAACTCCTCAACCTTCTTCTCATCAGGGGTGATAGTGGCCTACCTGACACCAAAGTCATATTTCTTTATGGTTTCTGCAGCATCCTTGGTGACCTGGTCGTTGGTGGCATCACAATTCTCTATGCCTAAATCATAGCTATGTAGATCCAATTCCACATAAGGAAAAATGAGTTTCTCCTTAATCAATTCACAAATGATTCATGTCATTTCATCTCCTTGCATCTCTGCCACAGAACTGCCACTGATATTTTTGGACATTTTGACTTCAATAAACCTTGATAATGAAGAAGTTTCTTATCACTCCCATTCCTCCCAGTCTTGCAGACTCAACTGAATGTAGTTTATCTCCTGCTGGATGATTTGCTGGCAAGGAGCTGGGGCACCACAGCCACTCACACGCTCGGACTCATGCGCACAGGTTGACAATGCCAAACCGGACTCCCATTGGCTTGGGTTCTGACACAGCCTCTGCTGAAACCCCCCATGTGTTTTTATAGTAAGCAAAACATGAGTTCATACTGATATCAGTAATTCTACTCCAGCACTACTAGGTTCATTTTAGTTAGCGAAGTTTTTAAATAGTGCTGAGCTCATTAAACCATTCTCCTCAAAGCTCCTCTAAACTCTAAGAGAACACCAAAATTATTGTTAATTGTCAGCTTGAAATCAATCATAAATCTATTTTATTACTCAGATAGGCTTATTTAACATGTTTCTTTTTGAGTACTTAACAGGCACAGAAATATATGTCTATTTTATGGGATTCAGAGCATGTTGACTTATTTAAAATTATTATGAAAGTTTATAGTTTA